TCTCTGTATAACTTATTTAAAAGTAAAAGCCAGTGCTTCCCACAGCGCTTACCTGGCGGGTGGGACAGAGCTGGGCTCAGCCCGTGCGCCCGGGGGGGTCCTCGATGGGCAGCTCTGTGCTGCAGGGGCAAAGCCATCACCCTCCTCACCCGCCGGGAGGAAGGGGGCTCCGGGCAGGCGAGGGGCTGCGGCACCCCCAGAGCACCCCTTGGCAAGCGTTAGGATGGCCGATGTGCTTGGGAAACGGCAGCGCTCCAGGCTCTTCGTTATTGCTCTTGGTGATTGAGACTGGGGGGAAAGAGGAGGTAAAAGCGAATGGAAAATAACTGCCTGGAGTCTGGGGGTGTTGTCTGGGAGGAAGGAGGGGGAACACACCAGGAGTGACCCCTGGAAGGCTGGAAAGCCCATCCCTGCATGCTGGACATGGTGCCTCCCCATCCAGCTCCCATGGGAACATACGCCCCCTCCCAATTCCTCCCCTCCCAGGTCCCACGGTGGGGCAGCTCCCAGGGGGACACCCAGACCCCCAACACCTTTGAGAGCAGGAGAGCTCGGAACCCACCTGCACGCCGAACTGTAAGGAGCCGGATTCATCGTGGCATGGCCAGGCAGAGCGGAGTGTGGACCAGGCCAGGACAACACGCCTGGAGCACTGGCACCACCGCCTGCAGGGCAGCCCACCAAGGCACAGCATCAGATAGGCGCTGGATCCTTCTACACAAGGCCAGCAGACCCAGCCAGCAAGGACCGATGCAGACACTTGCTGCCATCACCACCGCTGCTGGGACCCTCTGTGAAACACCCCGTTATCCTTCCCTGACCAGGGTACAACCCTCAGCCTTGTCCCGGCCCCACCTCCGCTCATCCGCTCCGTTCCCGCAGGCTGCTCCTCTGTCCCACGCAGACCTGCGGCACTTACACACACACACACACACACGGAGCAGCAAATACAAGAGACCCGAGTGGATTCTCTGTGAGAAAGAGCCCAATTTAATCACATCCGAGGGACTCATGAAGGGGCTAATGCATCATAACTGGGTCATTCAGCACTGCGGCTTCGGGAGCACAGGTAGGACCTTTATCAGCAGAGCGGCTGTTAGGACAAACACGTAACCTTCAACAGGGGGGCGATTGCTGGGAAAACACATCAGCGTAGCCTGGTTTACAGGCAAACTTTCTGCTGAGCTGGATCTATTGTTGAAAAAACCCTGAGCAGCACTCCACTCCCGGGAGGACAGGTTTGAGCCCAGCCTAAACAGTCAAACGATTTGCAGGGCTGTCCTTCACCCACGGCTTCAGGGGCACCAATGCCACCAATGCACGTGTGACGCCAGGAAACCTCTCCTCAGAGGTGACACAGCGCTTAAGTACATTTTCCTCTTTTTTCAGTTGTGAAAGGATTAATGTCAACGAAGGAAGAGGCTGTCAGCTGGCCCCTGATCATCGCCGGGGGCACGCAGTGCTCCTGCACACCCGAGTGCCGCTGGTCCAGCAGCATCTCTACAAGACAGGCTGCCACACCAGCCTACCCTTAATTTTTTTTATTTTTTTGGGAAAAGGAGCAAGTATAAGCCACTGACCACGTTTTACATCTTGTGACAAGCAACTTCTCTACAAAAGGCAGGATGACATTAAAGGAAAACTTAAAAGAGTGAACATTGTAATTTCAAAGACATGAAAACCAAAACAAAAACACAAACAGCTATTTTTCCCCCAGAGCACTCTCACTTTCAAGCTCAATAGCCTTGAAAATTGGAGCAATCAAACTGTTAAATGCATCGATCTGTTAAATCAACTCCTACTGTACTTGGCTAAATTTAGCCTTTAATCCCCTCTCCTTCACTCCCAACACTGCAGATCCCGGGGCTTTCCCCAGCCAGGTCACCCGGCCTCTGCCTTCCCACGACACCACGGGCTGGTCCCTAAGCAAGCAGCGATGGAGATCATCTCCCCTCAGCTCACAACCACTCATCGTATTCAAGTCTTTATGCTAGGGATGTATACAGAGAGCAGCACGGATATTGGTCTTTGCCAGGGTCATCATCACAAAACCACCAGGTACCCCCTGCAGCTCCGCACGCACATTCACCGGACACCACCGCTTTGCTGAGAGCAGCCCGAGCCTTACCAAGCACAGGCCACCAACTGCATTTAAACTTGCCAACAGCATCCTCCTCCTCTTTTCATCTTCTTCAGGCTCATTTAGAAGCAGCCCGATGCAATCACCGTCACAGCAAGACAAGGTTTCCAATGAGCCTTGTTCCCACAGCCCAGGAGCGAGCGGTTCCCTGTGCCAGGACCCACAGATTTCACCAGGGACTTGTTGGGGGGATTAGAAATCGGGTGAGCTCGGTTATAACCCTAAAATGTCACTGAGCAACTGCAGGACCTCGGGCACATCTGCCCTTGCTTCCTTCTCACCCTTTTTTAGTCTTTAGCATCTTCATTAATCAAGGCAGTATCTCATTTTAGAGGCTGCCTAGTACCTGGACACGTCCCCCCCTCAAGATTTGCTGGAAAGGCTGAAGGGAGGTTGAAAACAGAAAATAAGGATGGACAGCCAGAAATGAGGGAAGGAGCAGCCAGAACCGTCTGAGGAGAGAAACACACAGGTGGTTTCATGGCAGAGGAGGAGGGAAAACCAACAGCAGCTAAATTACAGAATACAAACAATTAACAGGAAGAAAAGTTTAAGTGAAAATCTCTGATTCAAATCTCACTGAAGACAACAGCAAAGTCTTTGCTTCAAAAGAGGAGATGACACAGTCTTTCTTCTGTGCATCTCTTTTCAGAGCCAAATCAAAAGGACATAGAAAGGTGCTGCTGCTTGGCTCTGACCAGCCTGCTGTACCACCCAAACAGGGAACCCCTATTTTCAGGTGCGGAGTCTAAGAGGAGGTAACTGGGTTTGAAAAGCCTTGCTAACAGACAAACACGGGTTTTCCTCAACATTGATTTATTTTTAAATATACTACGCAAGAGAGACTGGAATAAAAAATAAATCAAAAAAATGAAAAATAGAGAAAGAGAGGAGGAAGAATTGAAAGTCGTGTACAGAAACAATCTGTACCGGACCAAATTAAAGGGGAAACAACCCCCTTAAGTATCACAGAGATGAAGGACAGAGCTATTTACACACTGTAAAAAAGACAAGTCTACAAAAGTGTGTAATAACGAGATACAAATGTATAATATAGTGGCACAATATGTTATCAAAGTAAAAACAGTACCTCCAGGAAAGAGACAGTCCAAGGGTTGGGGTTTTTTTTTTCTCCTTACATTTTTAAAGGCAGCCTGTGGCAGAAGTGTGTATTTTCTTTTGAACATTTGTCATGTGTTAAGTCATGGCTGTTTGTGAGGGCGAGAAGTGGCGTGAACACACACAGGTGAACTAATAGAATCATATACAAAACAAACAGTTCCAAAGAGAACAGCATAAAATACAATTGAAGGCAATTAGTGTTTAAGATACACAAGAGGAGTCACAAGAGTTACAGGGGAACAGGACATGGAAAATGTTTTTTTTCTCCTGTTTGGAACTGTTAAGAGGAGTTAAATTGCACTGTTAATAGCCCTAAACCTTGTTCTTTCACTATTGTCACAAGTCACAGTTAGTTCCCAGTCGTGTTGCATTAGTTGGGAAGGTCACAGGACCTTGGTAAGGAAGCCCAGGAGTCCTGCTGTCAGCGTTTTGTGGCACTGTCCTCGGGAGATGCACCCAAGAGAAGTGTCTGCAGTCTTCACAGATCCTTGTTTGATGCTGGATGGAACCACACCGGCATGAAGGTAGTGACGGTTTTAACCCCAAAGTACTGGCATTTGAGCCCTTCACAGGGAGTAAGCACTGGCATGGGAAGGGAGGCACCGCGGTCCCTCAAAGCACGGGTCTCTAAGGGGCAGGAGAGGGGGGGAAGCAGAAGCCAGGCCCCATCTCCACTTACAGAACAAAAAAAGTCTGGATATTCAACTAGAGAAACAGCAGTTCTCACCCATCTGCGATGCGCAAGCTCAGCTGAAACAACTGCTGGAGGCACAGTGGTATCTCCGAACTCATCCCAACCTGCATCTCCCCCAGCTGCATCCCTCGCCTTCCAGGGAGCGATGCCTTGCTCAGCACCAGCACCTACTGCTCCCAGACCTGCTCTGCAACTCTCCACCCCAAACGTCAGCCCGATTAACATTAGGTATCATGAGAGTGCGACAGCAACATCCTTCTTCAGACCTTCTCCAGTCCTTTTTTGCTACCAAGGGAAATTCGCAAACAGGCTCCCCTGCCACTACATTAGCGGGTGCTGTCTGCAACATTTTGAACCCAAGCAATTCATTTGGGCTCAACAACATTAAGAAATTATTGAAAACACAGAATCAAAGGGCCGCAGGTAGAATCATAGGAAGAATTTGGGCAAACATCACTTGTAGCATTCTGTCATTAAAAAAACCTTACATCAACAATTTTCCCCCCCTTCCATCCCAAGCGCCAAATCTGTTGCATTAATGTCAGGTAAATGTCAGACTCGGGCCAGGGACATGTGCTGCAACACTCCCAAAAACCACAGTGGGTATATTGCTATTCAAACACTCATCCTCGTGTACAGTGGGGCAGAGGGAAGGGACAAAAATGCAGTAGAAAGTCCTCCTGAGGAGGATGGCAACTCGGTGTCCATCAGTCTGGCTTCAGTCTTAATGGTCTGTCCAGAACAATAAAATATTAATAAAAAGGCATGGTGTGACATCAGCATTTAGACTTGTAGTCCACAAGGCAAGAACTCCACAGATAAGATGATTACGAGTATATGAAACGCAGGGAATCTGAGTTCAGAGGGTGGAAAGTGCCTCTTGAACACAGCCCTGCCCCTTGGAGCTGGGGCATCCACTCAGTCTGTGTCTTTTGCACAGCCCTAACCTGAACGCCCCGGTCTTTTGTCAGTCCACATATGTTACTCTCTCCACAGCTGGCTTTGGCCCATTGTGATTTATTATTTTTTTTAACCTGGTTTCTGCTACCTCTGAACAATGTCGCTGATTTCTTTCACCGAACTCAGAAGTTTGCTAAAGTCTTGGGTGGCTGCAGGACCACTGCCAGCTGTTGCTGGGCAGATCTGAAGCTCCCGTAGGTTATTCTCCAGCTTGTTGATGGCTTCCCGAAAGGCAAATTTGTTCCTCATCTGCTGAATGGAGTCCACATAGCTCACGCAGAAGGTGTAGAGGTTCTTGCCAGCCTCCAAGACAGCGCTGTGGCTTGCCATTTGCTCAGAGTTCTTGCTGATGGCGATCCGTAGAGCCTCGGTGCTTTCCAACACCACTCCTTTCGTGATGGTGCCACTGGCAATCCTCTCCGGGGGCTGCCGGGTCTTCCGCAGCGAGACCCTGGTGGATATGAGAGGGATGAAGGCTGTAGATGATGGCTGGTCCCCACCTGGGGCAGAGGGTACAGATGAGGAAGAGGCAGCTGGGGTTGCTGTGCTCATCAGCAGCTTTGTAGAGGACTGTGGCTTTGGTACAGAGGGGATCCCCAGCTTTTTCACACCTTCCCCTGACTGGTTTGGCTTGACAGCATCGCTGCTCGCAGCATCTCCAACCTGAGTCAACTGTTTGGATTTTGGCCCAGACACCACATCTGCTGCTGCTGCTTCATGGCTGGGACTGTGAGATACTTTCCCAGGCTTGCCAATGGAGGACGAAGACAGTGGAAGCGGAGGGGCCGGTTTCAGCTTCGATAACTTCCCTTTGTCCTTCCCTGCTGACTCTGAGGTCTGCTTGAGCCTCCTCAGTCGCGGCTCCTCAGAGGAAGCCTTGCTGGCACCCACGAACCCAGCGGGGTTGGGTTTCGCAGCAGAACCTTGGTCCATCGTCACAGTGGTACCTAAGGCACTGGATTTGACCCCATCGTCCTTGTGGAGCATGCTGGAGGAAGGAGGGGCAGCAGGTTGTCTACGGCCAAGTTTTGGCGTCAGAGTGGGAGGGCTGGAGCCAGGGCTCGACTCTGCATCTTTGAACACATCATCAGTGGTCTCTTCATTTTTCTTAAGCAGCCGTGGAGGAGGGGTCACTGTTCCCCTGACAGCAATGTCAGTCTTGGCCTCGTTTGCCCGCTTCCGAGGCAGTGCTGGCTTTTCACTTTTGTGTCCCCCAAAAGTGGAGGAATCAAACTGGCGTCCCGTGGACTGCAAATCCCGAGGCAGAGTCACAGATTTCCACTCTGTGTCCTTTGCCCCGTGGGGCACACAGGAGGCTGAGCAGGACCTTAAAAAACGTTTGCTGGAGTTGGAACTACTCTCCTCTTCACCAGCCACCCCTCGACTGCTGCTCATCGTGCTGGACTTCTTCCGTAAGTGGGGAGATAAGAATCCAGAGTTCCCAGCGACAACCCCGTTGGTGACACCAGCCCCGTTGCTTGGGCTCTGAAACTTGGAGGGGTCAGCCACGTCTGCGGGGGGTGCAATGAAAGCTCCATTGCCAGCATCCCTGCACTCCTCCTCCCCACCCGCCCTGCGGTCCGAGTGGCCATCCATCTCTCTGAAGGAACTGCTCCGTTTTGGAGGCGTAGGGGCGGTCTTCTTCTTCTTCTTGATAAGGGCACTGAAGAGGTTATGCTTTTTGTCTTTTGGAAGCAGCCTCTCATCTTCATTCAAACTGCTCTCCAGGGCCACCCTCTCCTTCCGTGGAAGCAAGGGAGAAATAGCAGGTTCATGATCCAGAGGGTCTGCAAAGGAAAGAAAAGTTTATTGAACATTGCTTTGACAGCCAGAATAATTGGTTTTCTTCTAAGAACAGACCACTGCAGCACCTCCACAAGGTGCAGGTTCTGTAAAGGAAGCCAACGTCAGACCAGGAGTAAAGCAAGTACAGCCGCACTCAAGCCTGGACTGAATATGGTCCTTAATCCTCCACACATTCGTTTCTGAGGTGGCTTCTACAGGACTCGGCTGCCAAACTGCTTTCCCTGTAGGCTTCCAATTGAAACAGCGACATACAAACACAAAATGTTTATGTTCAGATTCCCACCCTCACATCTGGAGACTTGTCTAAACTTCACACTGTGAAGAAGATAAATATTAAGAGGCCTTTGCTTTAGTCCCTGTGCTGTTGCTGTCTTTTGAATAGCCGACCCGCTGAATTAATAAGATCTCTGTAACCCACCTCCATCCCCAGTCTCCTTGTTCATTTAGATTCTGATACTCTTAACCTCCTTCCTGATGTCATCCTTTGTGGGGAATAGAAATAACTTTTTCATAAGCAGAAATCAAGATGCCCTTCGACAGCTGAACACCAGCTCACACCACCGTGAAGATGGTTGGCTTTGAACGATACTGGAGCAACGTGGCAGTAACAGTCTCCTTCAGCAGCGTTGCTCCAGAGGGAAATGATGAGGTGACCCTCTCTCCGCTTACAAGAGGCATTTAAAAATGAATAGTGGTTTGTAATAAATTTATCCTGAAGTCCTGAAGGTCTCTGTATTTGACTGACAGAGGGTCTCATTCCCAGGCCAGGCACTCAGATGGCATTCTAATTCAAAGGAGAAATGCCTTCAGGGCAGCATATACATTTCCAGCTTGACTAGGCAGTAAGAAGGGAGATGAAGCAGCGTCATAGGGGAAAAGGAGGATGCTGCTTAGCTACGTATTGGTGATCACCATGCTACGGGTAGGATTTTGGTTGAGGAAGGGATTTTGGTTAAGGAGAGAGAATTTGAAGAAAAATAGTTGTGTACTTTGAGAAGATAGCACACTTCCACAGGACCACGTGTGGTTAAACCATTTACACACAATAACTTATGGGGACCTGGACAACCAGAAGAGCTCTCACAGCACTTGGGGAGGCCACAGCCTTACTGTGTCTAGACACAGTCGAGTTGTGGAGATTCAGAGAAAATTAGCAGCTTGCACTGAGGATCCAGCCGCTGGATTTGCTATGGAAACACTGACAATTGAAGGGGAAACTACGATAAAACTTTAATGTGAAATATTCTTTCACAATTGTCCTGGTTTCAGCTGGGATAGAGTTAATTTTCTTCCTAGTAGTGGGTATAGTGCTGTTGTTTGGATTTAGGGTGAGAACAATGTTGATAATACACTGATGTTTTGGTTGGTGCTAGGCAACGTTTACACCAAGTCAAGGATGAGGCTGGGAGGGGACATGGCCAGGACAGCTGCCCCAAACTGGCCAAAGGGATATTCCATACCATATGATGTCATGCTCCATATATAACCGGAGGGAAGCTGGCCACAGGCTGGACCGCGACGCAGGAACAAGCCGGGCATCAGTGGTCTGCAGGTGGTGAGCAACTATACTGTGCATCATTTGTTTTGTATATACTTTTATCATTATTATTATTCTTTTCCTTTTCTGTCCTATTAAGCTGTCTTTTTTCTCAACCCACAATTTTTACCTTTTTTTTTTTTTTCCAATTCTCTCCCCCATCTCACTCTGGGGAGGGGGAGCGGGCGAATGGCTGTGTGGTTGTTTTAGCTGCCTGCCGGGGTAAACCACAACAACAACAACGAGTGAAATGATTCCCAGCGTAATGTTAAAATCATGTTAT